ACAAAAGTTACCTCTCACACATGTTGTTTATTGGGGCCAAAACTGGGATTAAATACTCTTATCGATGAGGGTGCATTTCATTTGACCGCAAGAAGCTATAGAAGAAGCTTTTCGTCTTATTGGACATATTCATCGTGAGAAAAGTCACGTTAATAAAATAATTGACAATGGAAAAGCATGAGAGAATTGTTTATAAAACTCTTTAAAATAAATTCTTTAATAGGAACAATAAAAATGATTTTAAACTTAACATACTATATCTGTGTTATCTCAAAATAAAGTTAATTGTTTCAATAATTATATTTGAATTCAGTTATTGTTTATTAATACAACAATTTATTGATTTAAATATTTTTTATATTTTAAAGATAATTTAATTTATTTATTTTATTTTTTTGAAATTTTAAAATTTAATCTTTCAAATCTTTTTTATAGCACGTTTAAATAAAGAATCGGCATATAATTAATATAAAAAATCGAGACAATAATATTTAAATTAACTACATTTACCTCGTCACTAGAAGTTTTAAAATTTAAATTAAAAAAAAAACATTTTAAAAGACTGAAATCAAAATTCTATAAAAATATAAACACCAAATACGAATTAAGTCAGATGTATTTTGACTTGTTACCAACGTAGCCAACGATCTCTCCCTAAACCATAAAGTGACGACCAAAGAAAACTCACAGGGAATGATATAATAACAGACCGTATGAGTAGGGTCAATGTAGAATGATTGTTTTATAATATAACTTTTTATAATCAATAAAAAAAATTATAGACTCACTTACAATAGAAATCAATCATATCTTTAACTATATTTAGAAGTTAATGCTAAAGCAAGTGGCTAGCTTAAGGCATTGAAATATAAATTTGGATTAAAAGTAAAAGAAAAATTATAGGTACAATAAATTTTATTTAATATAATAAAAATAAAAATAATTTCATGTGTAGATAGGTTAATTAAGGGTAATTTTTAAATAATGTTTGTTTAGATTATTTCATTTTTTTATTCATTTAAATTGTTAATGAGAACCAAGGGAAGCTTTTTTCCGCTGAGAATTTTAGTAGTAGATACATTTATCCTTAAAATAAAAAATAAAAAAAATCACTTTTTATATTATTAAAGTATCTCATGTTAAATTATCAGAGATAAAAATGAAGTATTTAGGGGAAAAAAAAAAGGTTTTCATCCTAAAAAATAATCACAATTTTTGTCTTTCTATCTAAGCGAGGTGCCGACAGGTATAAACAACTTTTATCATAAAATATTTGCTATGTAAAAAAATTAAACATTTCAAAAAGTACACGTCTTTAATATTTGAATACGATATCAATATAGGAGGTTTAATATATATTACACTAAAGATTTTTTTCCATGGGCATTATAAATATTATTAAATTAAAATATTTTTTCAATAAATAATTAAAAATGTATTATTAATATGATAAAAAAATCAACTTTTAAAAGGACTTTTATTTAAAAATTTCTATTTGATAATTGGTCCGTATAAATTGTATATACAAATTGATTATAGAAGTACCCAGAAAAAAAAAAAGTGTCTCAAAGTTATTACATTTAAGTGAGTTAAATTTATCTTAACATTTTATTTTATTTTTAAAATTCGAGTGTAGAAAGTCTTTACTTAATTGCAATTGGTCGGTACCTTGTCTGCAATCAAAATATCTCATTGACAACTGCCCAATCCCCTAAACAACAATTTTATATATTTTAAACTAATTCCAATGGATGATTAATAAAAGGCATATATCTAATCTTCATTAATACAGAGAAACACATTAGTAATGATATATTATATGATTCTATGATATAAGAATAAAACAAAATGCAACAACCACAGTAGGTAGAACCTTCTCCGTCGTAATACGTATGCAACGGAGCGCAACCCCGTAGCAGTTTCTCACGTGTGACTAAGCTCGTGCGTGCCAAACTGTCGGTGGAATTTAAACGGAGACACCCTTTGAATTTGTACAGTGACATTGGGTCGAAAACGATGTAGTGTGCTTATATTTTAGTATCTTACTCATGCCTCCGATGCACGCCACGTGTCCCTGTTTTCACTGATGCCCTTGGAATCTTCATTTTTATGTTTATGAAATTTAGTTTGGTGAATTTATTCAACGAGAGTAATAATTAATCTGGACGACTTAGCATCAAGTGTTTCATTATGTTTTAAATTTTTATTTTATTCATTTGCTGATGACAGTTGAGGGTATATACCATTTTTTAATAATGCTTGTAATAACTGTATCAAGTCATAAAATATTTGTTAGTTTTCAAACCAATATTATTCTTGACTTAAGAATAGTTTTAAAATTGAATTCAGACCAAATAGTATTTTGAATTAAAAACATGGGTTTTGAACCTTTTTCCTTTTTATTCACATTATGCTTAGTAATTGTAATTCCCTTAACCAAAAAAATAAGTTTTATTTTATATTATTATAAAAAAGCATGAATAAGGAACATCAAAGAAAAGAAATATAGTGATTATCTATTTTTGTCATAATTAAAGAGGTGCCATTATAATTTTAATTTTGAAAACCAAAATTTGTTGAGTCCAATCAATGATACTTGACAATGTCTAGAGTCCCTAGTTTTCACCAGAAAGTGGGGGTAAAAGACAATTATCAATAGTTATATCGAAACTCTTTTCTTGTTTCTACTCTATGGACAAATTTGCATAGTTCACAATCAGATTGAGGATCAAGTATTGGACTTAAAGACAAAGCTAGCTAGTCCAAAGATCAATTATATTATTAACCGATGATGAAGAAAGACACTGGTAACTAGCATTTTAGTTTACAGAAATTCTGAAATAAACTAAAATGGTAAAAAGGACAGATATCGTAATTGTCTGTTTAATAGAGGAAAAGACAAGCTAACCAAATACTTCCATTAAATGGAGCTATTGGCATGCCATGCCATCAAAAATGAAATTTTACCTGAATCGAAAGGGACCAAAGTTCCTCCCCTCCATTTTTCAACTCTTTCTTTCAATCAAGTTCCAATTAATAAAATAAAATAATGCTTGGAATGAATCCAACTTACAGATAATATATTTAATGAATACTTTCTTTAATTCAATAAATAGTAAAAATTTAAAACTATTTATTAGTGATATAATTATTTTAAAATATTATATGATTTAATATTTTAAATTTAATAATTTAAGATTAAATTTGATAGTTAAGATTTACAATGTTATATACTTATGTGTTATGCGTGCATGTATTTTAACAGATTCAATTATTCAAATAACATACAAACTTTGCATTCTTAACAAAATCAATGATTTATAAAAAGCTTTTCTTGGTTCTCATTAACTATTATAGTATGTTCTGTTTAGATTGTTTTTAAAGAAAAAAAGAATTGTTAAATGTTTAATTTTCCCTATTACAGCTTTAAAACTTGAAAAGTAGGAGAGTGCGTTACTATTAAATTGGATCAAAAGCAAAGTTTTTATTCTTATATTATACATTCTTACAAAAAGGCACAAAAGAAGGAAAACAGCACGTGTATATGTACTAACAAAAAACCTAGAAACAAGTAATCAAATTCTGGTTGGTTCCATTGTTTCACTTTCACCCAAGGGGTAAAGAAAAAGAAAAAGATTAACCTCACTTGGTCCTTGAGATCACACGTGTGACCAATAAGATTCTTTGGCGGGGAAGACTTCACTGTTTGAACTACTCACCCGTCAAATTAAACTGCCAAAGTTATCCCCTGTAGCTCTCCCCAGCGCAAAACCAATGATTGGTCTAGTAAAAATTACCTTACTACCCCTACATGACACGTGGCCTCCAGCAAACAAGGGACACAAAATTTTTATGGTGAATCAAAAGCACCAAAACTCTAACACCACAAACTTCACTTCTCTCCGTCGGTTTTCTTAACCATTTGTGAAGAAATTTAGATTGCTACGACGGCTTTGCTTCTTTTCTTCCCTTTCTTTCTCACCCACCATTTTCATTTTCCTTTTTTGCCCTTTTCCATTTCATGTTAACTCAATTTATGTACCACTTAAATTTCTTCCATTTCTTTCCTGTTTTCAAGATTTTTTTACTATTTTGAAAATATATAATATATTAAATACTTTCTTTTATTTTATAATTAGAAATTTTATAAAAATAAAAGTATAAAATATATGATTACTTTTTATAAATCATTAACGATTAAACAAAATGTCAATTAAATAAGCAAGAGATTTGTACCAGTAGAGTTAAAAAAATTAGGGTTAACAAGCATTTTAAGTATAAAACAGATTAGTTTTACAGGCTATTTAGCGAGTTAAATTTTGTCGTTCTTTCTAATGTCTATTTTCTTTAATTTAGTACTTAGTTTTTTATAATTTAAAAAATTATTATAGATCAGAACAAAATAATAATATAAAATAGGTGTTACTATTTTATGAGAATAAATATATATTATCCAGGAATTGAAAAAAAAAAAAAACTGCCACTAATATAAGATAACTATACATTAAAATTAAGAACATGTTTGTTTTGAATTATTTGCAAAAAATGCTGTTTTTAAAAGTTTTAAAATGTAATTATATTTTAAACAAATTAATTTAAACACACACTAACTCAAAATAATATGGTAAAATTATTTAAACTATTAAAAAAATATCTGTTGTGATATTATATATAATTTTTTATTATTTGTTATTATATATATGAATTAAAAAATACGTAAAAATACAGAAAAAGACATCGATCTTTAAGCATTCCATCAAAATGTAATTTTTTTTCATAATCTAAATTGAAAACAATAGAAAATTACATTTTGATATGCGGCTTGTGAAATGCTTTCCATTTATAAATAGGGTAGAAAAAACAAAAGAATAATTGATCCTGTTTAATCATATGATATTTTTAAGGACAATTATTAAAAAAAATTATTTAATTAAATTAATTAATTTAATGTAGTATATATGAAGATCACAGGTTGTCAGCATAGTTAGCTGGCCACTCGTTTTTATATTCATTTTATTTTTTTGTTTCCATTTAACCATTTTCTTCTCCCACCGATTTCTCAAGAGAGAATCAATTCCTCATCGTTGGAATTGTTCATTCTCTAGATTCTTAGCTTTCTCTTACCCTCTTCTCTTCTATCTCCTTCAGAAAAACCAAAGCTTCAGTTTATTGTAGCTGTTTTTTTTTTTCTTTTTCTGGCTTGAGATTATGCTGGAAAATTCTTAGACTCACAGTTTCAGCTACATTTTGCCGTAAAGATCTGTGCTTTGAGCTGTGGGAGGTTCAGCCTTTGACGGGGTTGAAGTCGTTCTTTCTTATGAGCCTTTGATTTTTGTTCTGCAAAACTGTACCAAAAGAAAATTCCAAGTTTCTCTCTCTTGAAGCTCAAAGCTTTTGTTTTTTTCACTGTGTCTTTCTCTCTCTTTTGATGGACTTGTGAAATGCTGGGGTCAGAGGCTTCTGAAACATGTTCTAGCAGGCTTTTGGTGAATTGGGTCGCTGTGGTTTCTGGCAAGGGTGGTAGAGAATCTCAGTTCTCAGAGATCTAAGCCTCTTTGGTGCATAGTTGTGAAAGTGAAAGAGAGAAGAATAATTGAAGATGATGAGGATGAGGAATAGTAATAATAAGACAAATGGTGTCTCTTCCTTCATGAATGGTAACTCAGCTGGTTGTAGAGCTGAGCCTGGTTCCAAAGATTGGGAGATGAGGCCAGGTGGAATGCTGGTTCAGATGAGAACAGCTGAGTCGGATCGCAACTCAGTGTTGGTTCCTACAATTAGAGTTAGGGTCAAGTATGGTTCCATTTACCATGAAGTCAACATTAGTTCCCAAGCTTCATTTGGTAACTCTTTTCACATTTTTTGTTTTTCAATTTTAAGTTGTTTTTGTTGTTATTTCAATTTTTTTTCGGTTATGGTTTGATTGATTATTTCGTTTTTTTTTTCTTTTTTAATTTATGGTTTGTAGGGGAATTGAAGAAAATGTTGTCAGGGCTAACTGGATTACACCACCAAGACCAAAAGCTGTTTTACAAGGATAAGGAGAGGGATTCAAAGGCTTTTCTTGACATGGTTGGGGTGAAGGACAAATCAAAGATGGTGCTAGTGGAAGACCCTATTAGTCAAGAGAAGAGGTTGTTAGAGATAAGGAAGAATGCTAAGATGGAGAAAGCTGCAAAATCTATCTCAGAAATCAGCTTGGAAGTAGATAGGCTTGCAGGGAGGGTATGTGTTTATTTTGTTTTTAATTTTTCCTTTTCATTTTCAAACACTTAATTATGAGTGAGGTGGGATTGTCATTGTATTAAATGCTTGAGTAGTTGGGTGCTGATTAGTGATTGGAATTGGTTAGGTGTCAGCTCTTGAATCAATTATTAGCAAAGGTGGCAAAGTGGCAGAAACGGATGTGCTTAGTCTGATTGAGCTATTGATGAATCAATTGCTTAAATTGGACGGTATAATGGCTGATGGTGATGTGAAATTGCAGAGGAAAATGCAGGTAATGTTAGATGCATTTTACTCTTTTTGTGTTATTAGTTCTAAAATTAAATTGATTATGCACTCAAAGTTCTAATGGTGGTGTAACATTTCTCTTTAAGGTAAAAAGAGTTCAGAAGTATGTTGAAACTCTGGATTTGCTGAAAGTTAAGAACTCTATGCCTAGTGGCAATTTAGGCCATGCCTCAATGCAGCCTCAACAGAAACATTCAAATCTGGGACCAATTCAAGAGCAACAACAAAAGCATTCAAATGGGCATCATAGGTTAGCACCAATTGAGGAGCAGCAACATGATCAACCAAGGAACACAAATGGGCATTCTCTAGCATTTCATCAACAAGAGCAACAACACCAACCCTCAAGCCATTCCACCTCAGGAGTTGTAGTTACTACAAATTGGGAGACATTTGATTCTGCCCCACCCTTAATTCCTGTGCCATCTACATCCACACTCTCCTCAGTGACCAATAATTCTGGTCCTCCTAAGTTCAATTGGGAATTCTTCGACTAAAGTACCATACCACGTGATTTTACTTGTGTGGATGTGATTTGGGTTTGTCTTCATCTTTGAGTGTTATATGTTTTACATTCTTTTCTGTATTTAGATTTGTTTAGCAACCCCCTCTAATCTGTCAGAAATAAATGGGGTTGCTATGATAGTGATTATCATAAAAAAAAAGTTACATTTCTGTGATTTTGGTGTCCACCGAATTCATTTACCAAATGTATGGGCCTATTTTTGATGAATATATATAATTTTACTATCGGTTTTTGTTAATATTGATTTTAAAATTGGTAACATATAAAAATAATAAATTTTCATTAAAAAATATATTATTATATTTTTATGCAACAATCTTATTATAGATATTTCAAATTGACCTTAAAAATTGATGTTAACATTTTTTTTTGTAAGTATTTGTAAATTTTTTCTTAGAAAAATTAGGATTTGAGGTATACATTTAGATACACAGACTATTACTTGTTCTATTTTAATGATAAAATTTGTTGAAATAAATTAAAAATAATTTATTTTAATGAGTTATTAAATACAACTTAAGAGAGTGTTTAAACTATTTTTTAGAATCTGATCATAAATTATTTGACTTGTTTAACCAGCTCTCATGGTGAGGTGTATTTCAGAAACCAAAATCCATTTGAAGAATGATTTTCCATTCTTTCAATATCCATCATTGATTATAAGGTTTTGTTGTATTTCTTGGTGAAGCAACATTGGTCGATGACATAATTACAATTTTTCAGTATCTTAGCTTCTTGTGGGGGCTACAACTGACAAAAAGACAATCATATATTAAAGGGTTTTACTAATCCGTCCAATGATAGGACGCCAAGTCCAAAAAGTGTTTAAAAGAAAAGAAGATGAAATGATAACTGAGGATTGGAAATTACTACTACAATACTACTAATAAATCAGAAAGTTAGCTAATCTTCCGTTTCTACATGGTTCATTCCGGATATAGAAACTTCCCTTCTTAGATCTCAAGCAAAGGCCATAGGAACGGAGAAGTGAAGAATAAGCCTGTTTCAAGTCTAGGCTTGCCCCTCTGCAATTTAAACTAGTTATAATAATCCATGAAATGATTACTTAGTATAAGGTATAAAAATGTGTCCTAGTAATAAGCCTGCCAAATTATCAACTTTTTTTTTTGTAGGCAATGATGTAGTATAGGAATACTGAACAAAGCAATCGTCTTGGGAATGACATTTGCCCAAGTAATAGGTATGAACTTATAAAATCAAAGTACAAGGCACATGTTAATCGATATTGGCTTACCTGTTTAGTTTTTAGTTTCCAAAGAAATGTTAACAATAAGAATTATAAATTATGTGTACCCAACTTCTGATTTAATAAATATCAATCATAATTTTATAATTTTTAATAAATTCTAACTAATAAAAGTGTGTTAAAAAGAATATATTACTAAAAAAATTTTAAGTTAAGACTTATATTTATTTTTAGATCATTTGTTGATAGACTATATATGTAATTTCATAAAAAATCTTAACTGAGGTTGGTGAGTTTTCCTGTCCTTGCATGGGATCAATCTATTCTAGATCTAAACTTTTTAACTTACAAAAAAAGGAAAAAAAAACGAATAAAAGGATCATTTTAATCAAGTAAAAGGGCTTAACTTTTATGGTAGGTTTGAGGTTACACACTAAGTGCAAAGTTAGTTCAACTTATAGAAATAATTTTTTTTATCGATTATTTATATGATTTTAAAAAATAAATAATTATTGTGAGAGAATAATTTTTCCAAACATACACTAAGTTATATTGCAAAATTTTAAGATAAAATTTTCAATTTCAATTTAATTGTAACAGAAATCAATTGAAATGTTTTGGGCAACATATTTTAAAATATTTTTAATTATACTATTTATTATTGGCCTAAATTTATTGGAACTCCCAATGTCATGCCGATTTCACTCTATATTTAATTTAACATATATATAATTTTGTGAAATTTAGTTAACATTGTGAATTAACTTTACAAAATTAAGATCATAAGAAATAAAAAATTTTAATTCTCACTAAACACACGTAAGGTTGAGCTAGGAATGACAATGTGAAAAAAAAAAGCATTAGTAGTAGCTAGATATCCACTAATAATGGACACAAATCTGTGTAATATCAAACCTATACATACGTGATACGTATTAAGTGAATTTTATATAAATTTATGACTATTTGTGGATATCCAGGACATCCACCAATATTTATTAGAAAATAAAAAATATGTAAAAATCTTAACTTAAAGTAAAGTAACATATATAAAGTCATAATTTAAAGAAAAGTATAATATTTAAAATTATAAAAGTAGTATATAATACATTGTTAATTACAACAATAATAGTACAGCCTTAGAGTTAAGCACGTATCAAAAGCGTCATAAAATAATATAGGTAGAATTAAGTTTGCTTTTCATATATAGCCGTATTTTAATAATTTTGTTCATATATATACACAAGCACATGTATCCTAATACTCGCCTTACCCCATTAATAGGATGATAAAAAATTTGTTTAATCAAATTTGTGGGTATTCATGAATATAAGTATTTTACTTATAATAGATTTTTATACGAGCACCTGTGAATGTAAGTAATTTTATCATCTTTATAATTTAGTATTTTTTTTTTATCATTTTATTTTTCGAGGTGAGTTTAATTAGTCATTGAATGATGTTTTTGTACCCTGATTCATACTTGCAAGAAACTCTCCTACTATCGAATTTGGGTTGTAAGTGTTGGGAATAAGAATTCAATTTTCCAAATGAAATAAATGAAAAAAAAAAGATTTAGTTCTTCAAAGTTGTTGTAGGGTAATAAAGTTGGTGGTTCCATACATTCGTAATCATTTTATCGTGAAAATGTGAAAAGTAATTAATTTTCACTATAAAAAAAATATCTCTTCACTATTGCATAATGGGAGTTTGAGAAGAGTTGAAGCAACCAACACATCAAAGAAGAGTGAGGAACCTACTAGTAATTGTGAACAATCACTTAAGTATTGGAGAGTGTTTTTCATGAAGTAAGTGAGCGTTCCTTGTGATTCTTGAGGTAGATACATGAATTTGTGGAGCAATACACAACTTGAGGAGAATGTTTTAGGTTTTCACATAACTTGTTATCATATTTTTCAATAGTGAAGAGCTGGTTGATGTATATACAAGTTCATGTGCACAGAAAATAACATTCATGAGAATAGGAAGTAGGACTGTATTACTACTTTCTTGTGTAAAACATAACTATCTCAAAGAGTGTATAAATATCAATCTTGTTGATTTTTGTTTTCATTCAAGCAATTTAGAAAATCTCTATAGTAAAATCCTTTAAACTTCTTAAGTTTCTCAAGTTGGTGTAAAGTCAGTTAATCCTATCTCTACTGTGTGTCTTCGATTTGAAATTTTGGCCAGACCAAAAGTCTCATTGCTGCAAAGGTTGTCACACGTTGCTATCCTATAACCAAAATTCACCACCACCTGTTGTAAAAGGTTGAAACAAATTTGTCGTGGAAGTACTATTCATATTAACTGTTCACGAATTCACGAAGCAAGGTTCGTGTACACTATTTACATGGTACTATTCATGCATTGTTTCTCTTTTTTTCTCGCTACACATTAATTCACCATTCTAATTGAACAGTGGATCATCTTTTTCCACCATCACTAAGTGTTGGTTGTTTGTATATCTAATGTATGTCACATGACCTTCTGAACTGCTTTTGGATTAGACAACATCAAGAATTAAAGTTTGGAGACACAAAACAAATGAAATTATGTTGTGATAATTAAGCAACACTTCATATAGCTTCAAATTCAATGTTGATGAAAGAACCATTTGACGTATATACTTCAACTTGAGGAAAAGTGTTGCAAATAAGAGTACGAATTTTTCAAACATGTATCTGATGTAAGAGTTTCTGTGAGAAAAAGCGTAAGTACAATGTCAAACCCCGAAAATCTTACATCTTCCAACGTAATTTCACACTTTCTCAATTTACTCTTTATATTTTTCTTTTTGAAATTTACACACCCTAAAGTTTGGAATAAAGTAAAAATAATAATTCAAATTGTCGTTGATAAATATAAAACCATACCTAAATCTAGGTACAAGGGAGTTCAGCGATGTGAAAAATATATAAACAAAACTTAATGATGTAAAATGCACAAAAAGGTAATTAGAGACGATATAAAGTTGTACAGGGATTAAGTGTAATTTATGTTTTTTTATATTGCTGGTAATCCTATTCCATTATTGATAGTTGAATAACGAAAGTGATGCTAAAATTTGATTGATAACATGTTAGGTAAAACTTAAATTTTATTGAAATATTCTTTTATTTTGTAAAAGTGGTCTCAGTAAAATAAAATAAATAAATAATTATTTTAAAAATAAATTAAACTAAATATACACCGAATTAACTGTCAAGTTTTTTATTTAAGTTCAATTATTTATTTGATTTTTCAAATGATGTCATTATCTTTTTTTTTTCTATTTATTTTGTTAATATTTTTTTTATAAAAAATAAGTGAGAGATTAATCTTTTAATATGAATAATATTATAATAATCTATCCACGTACAATGATGTGTGTTAGAGATACAACTCAGAATTAGTTCTAAATTATTTTTATATTTAGTTTGTAAATAGTTAGTATTGTTAGAGAAGTTGGCATTGTTTAACTTAAAACTTGAGGTTGGGGAATGAGTAAGAGGAGAAGAAACCTCATTGTGGTGCAAATCAGACACCTCAGGGAGCACAGATCCAGAAGGAACATCTTCTTCGACATCTTCGATTAGGATGGATAACGATGGAGAACGAGTCAACATAAGCAAGGCAAGCCTTTAAATGTTCAAACGAGCGGCGAGGTGGAGTGATCAAGGGAGCTTTAGAACGTCAAGGAAAAACTGTCGCCTCGAGTTCAAGGGCAGTTAAGAAGAGTAAGCGAAGAAATCCATTTTGAATGTGAAATAAGAGAACTTACTACTAAAAATATTAAAATTATAGACAGAATTTTAAAAGTTTATTCACAGATTTTAGAATTATAGATTTATAAACCCTAAACTCTAAACAGATTTATATACAAGTTAGAACTACCAGTAATATTCTTGTCGATAAATGAATATAAACAAATTTTTCTATTTGTAATTTGTATGTGATATTTATTTATTTTTTATTTTTTGTTTATTTGTATAATTATTTTTTGTTGTTTTTAATTATCACAATTTGTAAACATAATA